GACCATTGGATTCGGATTCAATGATATAGATGGAACGACAACAGTACGAGACTCTGACATTTCATGCCCTACCTCCGTTATGCCTATTCGCACAACGTCGTGAAGAGTTGTGTTTTTTCAAAAAGACTATTCAACTCACTTGTAAATAAGCTCTTCTTTTTAACCATTCATGTAGAATTAAGTTTATTCTTCTACTTTAAGCAAAACCTAATCCACCTTCTTGAGAATTTTTCTGTTTATGCTATTATTAGTTCTAATAAGAACGCTTAATGAATAGTTATGATCATGTTATATGTCTAAATAATAAAAAAATCCCAAAGCGTATTCAAACTTATTGTATTTTATGTACTTATATTCTGATTATTAATATAACTAAAAATGTTGTCATTCTAAACTTATGACTGGAGAAAGGTCATTGACTATCTTTGCTAGTAATTGTATGACTAAATTTTTATTTCTTAATATCAAGTAATATAGATTTGTATTTCATAAAGTAGCGAATTAACTTCCTGTCATCAATCATTTTTAACATAAAATTACTTTCTTCTCAGGACTCGGTTATAATTTAAAATTTAACATAATTTTTATTATTATGAATGTTAGTGAACTTTAATAACAATAACAGAAATAGTCATTTCAATGGATAGATGAATTTCCAATCTCTTCTACTTTGAAAAGTATGTTTTCTTGTTTTGTATCAAGAGGTCAAAATATTTCTATGTAGAAATAAATGTTTGATTTATCTGTTCATATATTTTCATTACAAATCAGATACTTGAAGGTCTAATACTTCATTACTATCTAACATGAAAGTGTTTTCATTCACTTGGTATTGTTTGCCTTGTATCTTCCCATTGAGGTTTAAGACTGCAATTAGTCAGTCTGCCATTAGCATAGGTGCATATTGTGCGTATGCCTCGATATTACCTTAACAGACTGATCAATTGCAGTCTTAAACCTCAATGGGAAGATACAAGCCAAACAATACTAAGTGAATGCAAATTCACCCCATTGCACAAGCAAGTGGCTATCAGGACTCAGTAGCTGAGTGGATAACGCGATGGCGTTTGAAGTGAATGGTACTGGGTTCGAGTCCCAGAGTGAACATTAACTCTGAGACGCAGGCACATCCAGCTGACGAGTCCCAAATAGGACGAAACGTGTGTCCTGGATTCCACTGCTAGCCACTATCCATGATGAGATTGTTTTGTTTTAAACCAGTTGTTAAGAAATTATGAATTTCCCGAGAAATAGTTTCAGTTATAGATAGCATTCATTGACAAAATATGATCAAAATCTTGAAGAGACTAATGTTTAACATGATTACTGCCTTCTGACCCTTAACCACCTAAAGTTAAATATAGTATATCACAATCGTTGATCATTCGGCCGATAGGTGGATTACAAATTGATGGGTAAAACTCAGTCGGGGACTAGATGATATTAGATTGCTTGATTTTCTGGAATCAATTACTTTCAGTGTTTCTGTAATAAACAAAACCAATTCTTTTAAAATACACATTAGTTTGAAGCTATTTTATCATTTCTCAAGACATGAATTCTTTATCGTATTACATGACTTCACCTATGTAGACCATACACAAAGTCATTTTAGGGGTTCATCTGAATATTGCAAATTATTTGATAAATAACATAGATACCATAATAGAAACACTATCCGATCAGATAGTTGTTAGTGGAACTCTTAGTTTATATATTCATTCAAAATACAAGCTCTTGGTTCATAGTACTAGTTACCAGTTTTAGAATTAGTTTGAACAGTGAGTGATATGTTATTTTTGTTTGAGAATGATATTACACTTTTAAATCTGATGCTACTAAAAAAATTATTTTCCAATATACTAGTGACTTTTGATGGTTAAAAAAACTTTCATTTGGTTATAGATTTATTTCATAATAGATTGGTGCAAGAAACAATGAGTTTTTTATTTGAATCTCAAAAGGAAAAGTGATATAAATTTATCGTGACTTTGAAGTTTGTATATATAGAGCTTCCATTTTTCCACTTTCTCATTCGTATTCCATGAAACTAGTACCGAAAAACTAGACAAACAGACTGAACTGGTATCATCTGAGATCCAGTAATATAATCAATTCATTGATATGTAACTTAAAATTTCCTAAAGCATTACGATATTTGGTTAAAACGGTAACAGAGTATCAATAGGATTGCATGTATTACAATTTATTGGGGTGAATTTAGGTAAAACACAAATAAAATTACAAGTGACGAATGGGTGAGTAGATGTATGGCTTTACCTTATTGACTGACTTTGGTTAGATGATCTTCGAAAACCAGGATGTACTGGACAGATCTTCATTTTTATGTGAGACTATTCAGTGACATACATACACAAATAAACCAACAGTCGAACCCGTAGTCTTCATTGATCCTCTTAAGAACTCAGCCCTTTGATCACTCTCTTAAGATCCAAGAGTCAGTCAATTCTTGACATTGTGCGACCATCATTTATTGATATTAGTAATATTTGTCTCACCCCCGACATATTTAAATTTTATTCGTCACGGTTTCCAACTAGAACTCAGAGAATGACCTTTCATAGTAGGTCATCATTAATAACGTGGTGATTCCTTAGTTTAATGGATTCTGAGTATTTTCACAACCAAGAAAAACCTACCCCAGAAAGGGAAACAGAACTGAGAGAAATTATGGGAATAACGAAATGCTCTGAAAAATAAATTTAAAAAGTCAAGTAAACCACATAACATGTGAAAGTCACTCTATCTATAATAAAATTGTCCATATTACAGAAATACATCAGTTGGAGGACCAGTAAAAGCCAAGAAGGACTACATATCTGTTGTGGTCATTTCTAGAGCTTCTCAGAATTCATCAAACCCAAATTTTCAAGTAACAGTGTCATTAAGAATGATGGCGAATTTGTTACTTTCAACAAAAACCTATTTTTGTCTAACTTCTTGAACACACTCCCAGCTTTACTAATAATTTTTATAACCAATAAAATCCTAAAGTGATCAGATGATCAAAGCTTTACGAGAATGAAAGGAAATGTACATTCGTTCCATTGATCTCTTCTTGGTTCAGTAAAAAGTAAAATAAATACTTAAATACTTTCAAGGATTGGAAAAGTATGCGTCAGTGACAAAAAGAACAGATTTAGTTTTTAACTTGTTGAATACTTATAATGGTTTCAGATTGCCACCAAAAGAACATACCACATAACAAGAGAAAACTGCGAGATGAAGTTGTCTTAACCAGAATGTCATTTCAATGTGGTCGATTTACAGAAGCGATATTTGTAAACCAACAATCAGTTAATGATTGAAATATTGTGTAAGTAGAACAAATATCCAATCTCTATGTTTACGTTTTCAGTCTGTGATTTCCTCCCTATCTTGTTATTCTGTTAAAGAGAGGAAGAACAAAGATTAGTGCAGAATAGTATGAGTTCATTTTATTTCGTTAGGTTTGCATCAGCTGCTTACAACCTAAAATATTCATATTATTCTGCATCAATCTTTGTTCTTGCTCTCTTTAAGATAATAAAGGGAACTTGTTATTTTGATTTGCCTTTCTTAAATTTCACAGATGAATTATTTATATCGAACTGCACAAGAATTGAAAAGCGATGAAAAAAGTGTTTAATTGATTCTTTATTGAACGGTTTCGATTCATTGGTCTACCTTGCCTTCTATCTACGTCTAATAAAGTTTTCATTTAAGTTTATTTACTTTATAGACCTACTGCTTATCAGATAACGAGTGTTTATTAATGGGTTTTTATTACACAAAATGAATTTATTTTTCATTTAGTATTTATACTACTTATTAATATTATGTAACAATATAAGGCAGTTATCATACTTTTTCATCCGCTAAAATATTTTAGATGTGATCAAAACATATTAAAATAATTAGACAGATTTAATCAGTAAATTCAAAAAAACCAATCTTTGTGGGAATCCAGCAGGCAGATATTTGCTTGTATAGAGATAATGAATTTTGACTACATTTGCGAATAATATTTATCATTATTCATATCTTAAAGTCTCATTTCATCAGTAAGGTATTTGCTTTCATGATATATATATATATTTAGTAATGATAATAAAACAGACTACTGATTATTTCGATACTACTGATACTTATGCTTTACATAATTTCATGGTCAAATGTTTACTATAGAAAAAAACAGATTCTTCATGAAACCCAGATCTCTGTGATACGCTTACTGTGAAGATGATCACTGTAACGATAATTTGAATCAAGATACGACAGCTTTTTACTCTGTTAAACCCGACTACTTCAAAAGACGATACAATTACACTGAAGATCAAATAAACTGAGTGATTTAGTAAGTATAAAATGTAAAATAACTCAATACTGAAAATCAACAAACAAAAATCACACTACTGCAATAGGTGGATTTTTAAAATGACCTTTTCCAAGTTTGTAGTGTTCACTCGAACAGCGGCGTGCTGTAAAAATGTCGAGTTAGACATTTTTATAACTGTTGAAGAACTGTTCACTTTCAGGCGGCCAGAACACTCCATTTATTCAGTTTACAGGGTTCACTTAATGAACGATTTGTTAAACCTGACGTCCAGGAAGGGGTTCAATATCATGACGTATCATTCCAAATATTTGTCTATTTATTATTGTAATGGAGATCAATTAAACTTAAAAGACATGTTCAAGTACAGCCAAGAAGTGTATCCGATGTTGAAATCCAATCGATCAAATTGTATTTGAATCAATCCAAATTACACCACGTTAGAGTATTTTTTTATTTGATGCTAGGTGGTTGAAGGCATAGGAAGGGAACACAGGCTGCGCGTTAATTGTGAGTACATCTCACATACAAATATCAGCTACATTTAAACTAGGATTTAAAGTATTTAATAGTTTGTCATAATTGATAATTTGTAGAACCTTGTGATTTAGCAACAGTTATCTCATCAAAAAACTTCGATATCGTTTGATTGTTTAAGAAATAAGTTTACTGTTAAAAACTGAGAAATAATCTACTAGTTTTGTTGTGAATAAGACGAAGACCAAAAAGGGACATACAAATAAACAAAAATCTAGAAACATCAAAGTGATAGTCTTACAAAAAGAATAATAAATTAATGACAACCAAGTTGGTCATCACAGTATTTTGTTATATTTAAAATAATGGAGTTCATTTTGTGTACATGTATTGTCTGACAAAATTCTTTTGACGAATTTCTTTAATTTTGGCATTGATTTGTTTGTAGTCATCTTCACGTACATCAGTGAATGTTTTCTGAGTAATGTCATCTGAATTTACGAAACGCATTTTAATAACATTGTCATTCCTAGGCTCTGAAAATAAATTAAACCACACATGATTATTTAACCAATCAATCGGATTTTCTAACGTCTGTTGATTACCATTAGTAGGAAAGGTAATTTTAGTAGTTGAAGCATTACGGGCTCTCTGACATGCAGCACATTTGTTTTCATTAATTATTCTTCGTAAATTCTTTAGTAAAGACAATTCACATTCTTTAGAATTCGCAACTTTTACCAAATCAATATATTTTGGTGTGAGACGATGAATTAATGGACCGACTTGTTCATTAACTTGACTGAGGAATCGATTATGTACAATAGTTTGATACCACATTGGATATATAGACCATTTACCGTTTGTTCTTTGACACAGTGCCCAGTCACTTAAATTCATTGTGCAATAACACTTCTGGCGAGATACAATTAATTTTCCTGTTTATGGGCATCAAAATCAAAAACCAGAAATTGTGATTTAAATTCAATGCGGTACAAAGTCAGTGCATTTAAAAAGAATAATAACAATGTAGTAATAGTTTGTTTCAGTAACATAGATTATCCAATTGATTTATTGTAAACAACCTCTGGACTCTACATGATCTTTTATTTAAAAATGTAGACAACAACCTTATCTAAGATCATAAGTACCGGCTGTTTGTAAATCGAAAATGTATTATATGGAGACTGACGGAAAATGACAGTTCAAATTATCGTTTTGGCGTTAATCTCAATATAAATGTCAGAATATTTAAATCAAAATCGAAAGAACTGTCAAATAAACAACTCCTGTTCCATTATTTTTTATGTTCAGTAGTATTCTACCAAGTTTATTCTACAATTTGTTATGCGGATATTGGAAGGACTAATGAAGTATAACTATAGCTTACATGTCTCATAATAAAAGCATTCAAAATGTATTGTATATAACAGCGTTTAACTGCCTTATTAAAGACAATATTTATTATTATTGTCATACTGGCGATCTATTATGTAGAAGAAAAAGAGTAGGAGGCCATCATTAATATTCTCTATGCTTAAAAATGGGGGCGATTGACGGAAATGCTTGCGAATTGTAAACATCCACCAGCACTTTGAAAATATGGTAACAGCTTCACTTGAAAACTTGCTTTCTTATTTTCATTAATGACCTGAACCACACAAGCTTGTCGTGGACTTTGCTTTACCCCTCTAGAATACTTAAAGCGCATTTCGGTTAAAGTTCTGCTCGTGATTCGCGTAAGTGTTTACAGAAACTTTTGTTTCTTTGCCACCTGCTGATATCAGAAGTGTATTAGTGTTGCTTTGCAATGGATTTTGATGGACATTATACCATTAAGTTTAGGCGCTGATTATCACTGGTTGTGTATACTGTACACTGAGAAGGATATAGCCATACAAAAGATTGCAGATCTGTCGTTTAGCTAAAAGCGTTCACTGAAGGAACACTGGGGATTCTGTCGACGACAATGAAAATTATGCTAGTGAGGGGAACACGCACACGAGGACATACAACATATTGTTATATGGGAATATATATATATATATATATATATATCATTATTACAAACTCAATAAATATTTCAACTACAAGATAATTGAAATCATTAAAGACGAAACCATGGAGGAAGAAGGATCAGTTTTATATCGAATGAACACAAAATCTATTTTATCTGAACGACATGATACAACTTTCACCGAGTCAAAGAGAAATGGATCCAAAAGGTCCGTACCAGATCTCGTGCGTTCTGAAATGAAACCACAAAGTAAGCGGATTGGCTTATGACTTTATTCCCACCACATACATATGACCCCTAGAAATTGGTATTTGGCGGTCGTTCTGAGCTTTCGATTTAGACTTTCATCGCATGTTCATAAACTACCAATGATTGTCTCTTATTCCTCATCAAATATTACTACATCAATAACATATTTTAAATCCTATATATGTGATGCACACAATACCGTTAAATACAATTCTAAATCACAAAGACTTCTATGAAAATATTTGTGTACTCTTCTTTATTTCTGTTTTACTTTTTTCTTCAGTGTCACTTACGTGCACTTTTAGACATGACAGGACCATCTAAATGTGGTGAATATTACCCAAAGGTTAGTGAAAATTGTGATCACTCGTATTTGTGATGAAACTTGGAATGGTTTCTTCATGACGTTTGTAGCGATAAATAAATCCCCCAAAAATAGCTCTGTAAGTTTTCGACATTGGATGCTGAACACATTAGTTTTAATGGACTCACCTTGCTGAAGGTAGCTCGGTCATGCATCCTCACCATATCACGAGTAGAAACGCCGTACTCAACATCTACTGCAATCGCTAGCCAGATTAGATCAGACGATTCTCGATATATTGATAGCCTGTCAAATATATATTCGAACCTCTTCACTTCTGTCTTTTGATTTCACTTGGTGGGTACGTTTCATACTAGGTGTTACTGGGTAAAGCGTTGTCGAACCCCGAATACCTGTGGCCTCTTCAATCATTTCATCATGGTATACGGAGATGGTAGACATGATACCTCGGATCTTTTAGTTAGTTTTTTAAGTAACTTGAGTTACATGAATTATGACAGCTTCATCAACAACAGTTAAGTACACACATTATTGTCCTGTTAGAAGAAATGTTTATTGTTGTTGTCATGCTGGCGAGTTCTTATTTAAAGGAAAATGACCAGGAGGCCACTACTAACATTCTCTGTGCTTAGGAAGTGCAAGTGATTGACGGAAACGCTTTTACATTGTGAAAGTGCAATAACACACTGAAAGGCAGATAACAGCCTCACCCAAAATCTTTGATTGTAGGAGATTAACATGTCTTTTACTTTAATTAAGGAACTGGATTACACATTCTTGTCGTAAATTAACTTTTCTTTGTTTACCTAATGCACTCAAAACATGTTTCCATTAAAGTTGTTTCTCTGATTCATGTAGCAGTTTACTGAACCTTTAGTTTCTTCGTCGCCTGCTTTTATCAGGAGTAAATTATTGTTGTTTCGCAGTGGATGTTGATGAATCTTAAGCCATTCAGTGTAGGCAACATAATCGTTTCTTTATTCTTATCCAAGAGTGCGCTGTGATTAACTCAGAAAATGATTACACAAAATATACATCAAAATAACACACAAGGCGGAAGAACGATCGTATAACGTTGATTATCATCGGTTCTGTATACTGTATTTTTGAGAAAGCTATGGCCAGTTCAAAAGATTGTAGACCTGTCGTATGCCTAAAACCTTTCACAGGAAGAATGCTGAAGATGCTAGCGACGACAGTAAAAAGCATGCTAGCGCGGTAAACACACACATGAGAACATGTAACTTACTGTTATCTGGGAATATATATATCATTAATATTCCAAGCTTAATAAATATTCCAAGTGGAAGAAAGTTGGAATCATCAAAGACGAAATGATATCTATACAACAAGCTTAACATAGGAAGAAGGGGAGTACTGAGCATCTTAATTTGCATTAGTCCCATATCAGTCCCATTATAAACCTGTAAAGAAGCACAAAGAAGACGAAATCATATAGGATGAAGGATCAGTTTTACATAACGTGGAAGCAAAATCTATCTTATCTGAACGACATGATACAAATGTCACGGAATCAACGAGTCGCACATCCGAAAATTCCGTACCAGATCTGATGCATTCTGAAATAAAACCACAAAGTAAGCCGGTTTGTTTATAACTTTATTCCCAGCACTTATATGAAACCAACACAAACTAACATTTAGCGATCTTTCTTATCTTTTAATTTAGACTCTCATCGCACATTCCTAAATCCCAACTGCTTAATTTGTTATTCTACCAACAAATCTTATGTGGTGTTTGAACGAACTAATAATACCTTTGTACTTGTTGAATGCTCGATTTCGAATTCCAAATACAATACATTCGCTTGTGCTTGTGTCTTACTTCTTAATTCAATTGCGTTATTTCTGGGACTCTTAGTTCGTGCTATAATTCAAATAATTCGAAACATTATATCTTAACACAACAATAACATTTTAAATCCAATATATGTAATATACATAACACCGTTTAATATTATTCTTCATCACAAACACTTAATCAAATTATATATACACCCTTCGCTGTTTCTGTTTTTATCTTCATTCAATGTCATCGTAGTATATTTTTAAATATGACAGAACGTGTTTAAATATAGTGGATATTATCTAAACGTTGTTGAATATTGTGATTAGTTGCATTTGTGATGAAACTCGGAATGGCTTATTCAAAACTCTCATGTAAGCATAAATTATTTTTGAATGAACATAAGATTAACATGAAGAAACTATTAAGGTTGCAAAATTAACGGTATGTGGTGTGTTAACTAACGGCGTCTATCAGCACTTCATAAATTCCGGTCTGCTTTTGTCAGTCGTTTTACTGCCACATTGATCAGCGAATCCTCGTGTTGTTGAACAGTACAATTTTCCAACAAATGAAGCTCTGTTATCTCAGAGGCTTTCAGCGATTTATACACCCTCCTAATTATGTGCTGGTCTATTCCTATATTGTGAAGCATGATGGTGACAGCAAGTGGCATAAAATTCAGTGTATTTCGGCACCATTTTGATATTCTTTTGTGGCTTATAGTAAGTTTTCAACTGTGGTCTTGCCTTCTTTCTGATCATAAAGTACCAGTCTTGTCTACTTATAAAAATGGGCTTTCTGTTAACCTTCACTGGAGACTGCGTATCATGAATCATTGGTTCGATGACAGTTGTATTAAGCCATCTAGACAATATGGATCTTTTGTCCACTTTATGTAGAACTGATCCTTCATCCTGCATGGTTTCGTCTTCAATGTGCTTCCTTACAGATTGTTAATGTGACTGAAATGGGACTAATGTAAATAAGAATGGTCAGTCCTCCTCTTCATTCGATGTTAAATTTGTTGTACAGACATCTATTAAGTGTCATAATGAGCAAGTGAGACTCAGCAAACAGTTACCTAAACATCAATTTTTCATTATTACATTTAAGAAAATAGTGGATTCAGTGCCTTTAGGAAATACTAGAGTAAATGGATCTGCTTGCGTCCACCTCAAGTTTATTACATCCGAAATTATAAGTCAGGGTACAATCACTTCCAAGAATCCGTAGCGTAAATCATCTCTGTACTGATCCCAACCTTAATTTATTCTTTACACGCACACCATTAAGAATAAACTTGCAGTGTTTTAGAAGTGGTCGGACGCGAATATTTTACATTAAAATATATGACTCATTGTTGTAAATGTTTCTAGTTTTGCTATCTATAAGACACAGAAACTTAGAGGTCTATTTTAATACTTTTTTGTGAACGATAAATCTTAGGATTACCCAAATCCTAGGTCTACGACTGCATGTAACTTAGACAACACCTCAACATTCATGGTAAGATCTAAGTTGATTTATGTATTAACGAAACATATCCATCCACATTAGGCTGTGTTAGGCTCCAGCTGCCATTTTAAGTATCACTATGCCACTTTGTTCTGACAGAGAAGGGGTTCTACAAGGAAGTTAATTTGAAGTATTTGGTGTCGGTGGGTGAGAAAGGAATCAAATCAAGCAAGCAGAGGGTTTGGAACCGCGTAAGATGCAATTCTACCTATAAGACGGTGGTGGTCAGCCATGTTGGAGGCTTTAGAAATGCCCAAGTGAAGCACCAAGAGTAGATGTCCTTGGTTACATTGAGGATAGACTAAATTAAAGAAATCAAAGTAGAATGTCATGCAAGATCGACTTTTAAGAAATATATATTGAGAATCAATGATTAATTTTTCAGAGAGTAAATCGTTAGAGAGTTCATCACTAATAATATTTTCCAGATTTCAAGGGACAAATGAAGTAATATTTAAGGGCTGATACTTATTCATGTCAGTTTGCTTCATATGCAATTCTACAGGATCTGAGCACTGATTTGGCGTACCAGAAACTGTAGCACCTAAACAAGATCATTTCTCCCGCACCGGATATGGTTCATTCTGTTATACTGTGGGAAGCAGCTCAAGTCTTGGCAACACTGCATAGCGTGATGTTCTCACATTCACTAAAACGAGGTACGGTACCCAAAAATTGAAAGCTGGCTCTCGTTACACCAATTTTAGTGAATGTCGACTCAGCAAAGCTTCAACCTACAGACCTGGAACCATACAGCAGCACCTAAAGATGAAAGTGAAGAACTCGATCGGTTCACTCTACCTTAATAATTATTGATTGAAAATTTGTGAGATTTCAAACTTCAAGGTTACTCCTTTCCTATGGCTTCGGACTTTTATATTTCTAACGTTAAGTTAGAATATCAGAAACTTAGAGATAGAGTTGAAAAGCTTGAAAAAGAAAAAGAAATGCTCATGGCAGAACTCGGACACAGGGAACAAAATTTTTGTGGGAATATACTTGCATTTGTTGAGAGTTTGTTTTTTAATACGAAATACAGGTAGCTGCAACTTGGCTTCTCTAATAACTTATCATAGTGATGTACTGTTCAAAACACCGAACGTTCTTGTCCCAGGGCACAGATTTGTTCTCGATGCTAGGGGAGGAGTTTGGAATGTTTATACAGAGGATGGTGTAGAATATATAAATATACAAGGTAGTTAAAGTCCACTTCGCTTTAGTCTCTCAAGGTTATCGTCAAAATGTATGCGAAGCTTTTATTCTGTGGACTTATAGGGGCATATTGGAAGAGTACGACGCACAATGCTTGTCCGATTTAATGACACTTGCACGAGAATTTTGCTTACCTTCCTTATTTACCCAGTAAGTATTTCTATTTTTTAAGTTGTAGGTGCGAAATCGCTTTAATTCCTCTAGTGACAAGAGAAAACTGTTTGTCATTGTATTCGTCTTCGCATAGATTAAGAGCCACACGGTTGTTAGACCATTGCTTCTCGTTTATGTCACGTGTTTGGGTACGCAATTAGAATAATATTTACCTGGTTTTCCAGCCTAATTTTTCAGTGAAAGAAATTTCTACAGTTTCTGCCCCTGTCTTGCAATCTTTTCTCGAGAAGTATTCCAAGTTCCCTGTTCACTCAGCAATTGACCTTGGAAGAGATGACACAGTTTTATCTTTGCTTAACGTTGATCATCCAAAGGTATTTTATTTTGGCTGTCATTTGCATGGTTTATATGTGCAACAACTATTTATTAGATATTTTTTATTTAAATGTTATTTCTATTGGGAGCTGTCGTGAATTTTTAATGAGATGGTTCAGTGAAAACGCTTATATATCTCTATGCAGACACCAGTTCTCTCGTAATTCACATCTATCACAAATGGCTATCTCTAATAACATTTCGATGTCTTTGGGACACGCTCCCTTAAGTTCTTTCATGATAACTCGTGTTCCGCTTAATTTTAGTTAAGTTCATATGTTACCACAATTATGTCAGTTAGTCGTTACTGTAGACTAGTCACACTACATACAGTATGGTTTGCTCAAGTTTTTATTACCTCCCGAAAGTTAACCGTTACTTAATTAAGTTATATTTTGATAGGGAATTACTTGTTATAACAGTTGAATTTATGAGTCTACCTAAGCTAGACCGCCATTCAAAACTTGGAAGCACTCGACGGCCGTTTCGTCCTAGTATGGGACTCCTCAGCAGTGCGCATCTACTTACTTTTTACCGACGAGTTGTAAAAGGAGTCATTATTGGCTTCGATGTAGTGTATTGAGATGATGATAAGTATCCCTCTTTCTTGGAAGAAAAAAAGTCGATAATGTATACGACTACTTTACAACTTGTTCGTTTCGTTTAGTTGAATTCCTTGAAAAACCAAAAGGTTGAATAGTTCGAAAAGGGCATACGTCACTGATGTTATGTGGTTACTGACACCGCAGGTCTGTATGACATGGTTTCAGTATTTATAAATTTAGGGATCACTTTATGTATCACAGTGCATTATGTCACTAAAGTGAAGATACACGAACCAATTTAGTTCTAGATGTTATTCATCTGTGGTTTTTGATCGCGACTGTATATATATACGGAAAGTCGTTTGTTTTTTGGTAACGTCAAGTAGAACACACGATGATTTTACATAGATCAAGTCCCATGGATTATCCTACTGAAGCCTGGAGGCTAATTACAGTACATTAAGCAACTGATAATAACACTAAAATATATATCGAGATAGTGTGTTTATTTACTTTATGTACACTTATTCGGTGGTAACGCAACACCAAAATGGCTTTCTTTGACTGAGGATCCTCTGCCTCTCCAGTGAGCTGTAGGAAAAATGATATATTACGTTGATTCATTTCTTGAGATAGATAATCGTAGCGACGCAGAAGTTTAATGTGGAGTGATTGCTCCCCTACTATCAGTTCAAATTCCAGAGCAGTAGAGGTAGTAGCAGTATCTGTGGTAATAGAAATTAGGGATCAAAGACACGATTGAAGAAAATATGAATTAATGAAAAAACTCAGAAATTTAAAGGCTTAAGATCTAACAGAAGATAGGAAACAGAATGCACTTGCGCCATCGCAGACTATTTTGAGTTACGTCGTTCTAATTCTCTAACCACTGGTTATGATTTCCACACAGACTCCAACCAGGTTGCCTACATTCATTAACATGGCTAATTTCAATTTTCGATCACTTCATGGATTGATATTGTTTTGGTTTGTCCGTCCCTACGTTTCTTCCAGTCTACTGCTATACTAAATAACATCGCCCGTCGAGGTAGGGAGTAGTTAGGGATATGTAACACGTATTCCAACCACCACAGTTTATGAGGATATACCACCTCATCAATTGATTTATCGTCCTTAACTAATGCTCTATTCCTAACTTAGACATTGCTTACTCGGTGATCCCATAATAAACGACCAATGCTTCAAAGGCACCTATGATCGAATACCAGCAACCGACAAGTATCTTCTACTTTTAGTAACCAATAAACTCTGGCTTGACCGGTAGTGTTCGGGTAGCGAAACTATACAACGGTAATGTACTTATTTGGTACGCCTTTCAGAAACAGACACTACTACGGAACTTCACGACCAACGGAGTCGATCGCCAATTTGAGGTCAAGGAATACAAATTATCGGACCTCACAAAGGATGTCTGTGTTCCAAAGCCTGCTAGAGTGCGAATATTTGGTGCTTACATTCACGTCAATGTCTGAAACCAGCCTGAGGTTAGACTTCGAAGTATTACTGAGACTAATATTTTAGACACTATATAAATTAAACTGATTCTTCAGTGGTTATCGCAAAAGGATATTTGTCCTTTCCTAAAAACTGGGACCATCGGCGATCGAGGTTTCCAGATTCTAGCTAACATTTCAGCCGATGTAACTGATAAAACTGGGCCACCATTTTTAAAAGTCTCAGACGTTAATCCATCAGGCTCTGCTGCTCTCTCACTTTACATTACTTGTAGCCTTTACAACCTCACTGAGAGTTGGAGGACTTACATCAGTTTGTCATTCCGATTACTTGAAGATAGTGGGCAACTGAAGTATGACTGAAGGTCAGTCAAAATGTTCCCTAAAGTTTTCTGCCCACTGATCCAGTCTCCTAGATTGAGAGGGAACAATAGTCCCGTCTTTTCACCAGTTCAGTAAACGCCGCCGAAATCCACTTATTTATCCTAACTATTCGACTTCAGTTGCTGATAGATATCGCTACAGTTTCCACGGTTTTTGGATATCATGCCAAGCTAATTCGGGTTGGATATTAGTTTCATGGTTGGCTGACCCCTCTAGTTGTTCATGAAGTATGTTCTCAGCTTTTTCATCACTAGGCTGAACTCTAAGGGTCTCTCTTTTGTCTTTTTACGTCCAGTAAAACTCAGATAACTGCGTTCTTGAACCTTAACATGATGTAAGTCTAAACACGTGTTCCGGAATGAGCGGCTGCTACTATTGAGTCTCTCCAACAATGAGTGGTGGTAATGTAGTCTATTTAAGTCCTCCATTGAGTCGATTGTGGGGGGTTACCACATAGCCCCCAAATGCCCTGGCATGGCCGAGAGCGGGCTGGGTTCGCCCTGCCTCTCGAAATACTCTCACACGGACACGCGTATACAGCCTCTGCCAGGGAAGTCCTACTCACTGCCTTCTCGTGGCGGGGGTGTTGTTTACGAAAATGAGAGGACGAAAAGCGAATGTCCGGCGCTTTAACCGGATTTCAAATCTATGGTGCACATGAGCCCCAGTATCCTGCAGGAACAAATGGCGTATGAACCAATTTTCGGTCACCGGCTACCATGGGACTGCATCTCCTTACGATGCTCCACTACCTTGTGGGTTAGACCTTTAGGTCAAAGGCTCGGGGTGTGGCCCCCTAAGATAACCACCTGCTTCGGTTTGGGCACCCGGGCAGTATCGCAGCCCACACGCAATTAATGAACTGGAATTGTGTGGCGCATATATATTTGGCGCACTCCTGTACCAATATATATGTGTTCAAATAATAATAATAATGGTTGCCACATCAGACGATGTTTTTCTTTATGCCTAAAGTTGGTGTTTGTTAAGAATAGACAGTTATCGAAGTGTAGTTGCAAAAGATGGTCGACATTATCTGTTCGCGGAGGCGCTACACTGTAAGCCATTCGGTTTGGCTTACCCTACCTATTTAAGCATTACAATCACCTACCACCACCACCAACAACAAATCAGAGCGTCTAACATTTTAAAGGAGGTTTGGGAGCTTTCGATAAAATTCATCTATTACTTCTTATGAGCTGCACTTATTGGGATCGTAGGATTCAAAAAATTGTTCAGTGGTGGCTTAACACTGTTATCCTGACTTAAGTTTTTTTGTAATATCATCAGCATAGTACTTATTCCAAGCGACGAATACTTTATAATCGGCGACATCCTACCATGATAAGGCAGTTAAATTTTCAACCTGGGGTTTCAGTGACTGTCTTTCTCTTTTAATTATAGTTAGCAAGGAATTTTACTACGACCTTACAGTTTTTACGTGGTAATCATATTTAATGGCAGACTACAGTAATATAAAAAATTTAAGTACCTTAGAGTTATAAATTAACTACTTTTTATTATTTAACTCTCTCGAGAATAGTGATGTTTTCAGAAATATTACTCAGAGACACAATTGGTAAACGTTTATAACATATAGTTCATGTGATAGAAGAAATGCTAAAGAACTATTTAACTAGTCTTTGGTTACCTCCTAGTTGTATTTTGTTGAGTTTCACCTGAAATGAACTATCATTATTGCTTATTTAACTCCGAGTGGAATTTAGAAGATATTGATTGCTTCTGAGGTTTGTGGGATTTTTCGTCCTTAGAAACCCACTTATCAACTAAGAGTATTCAAGTAATACAGTCCTGTAAGTTAAAATCTAACATAACTGGTGTTTTCATATCCTAGTGTACGGAATAAGTTTCCGAAGTGCCGTGTCTCTGATTGACACTACTACGAAATTAAACATCCACAGATGACATATCTAATTTTATTACCATTACTGTAGTCTTGTAACTCATCAATTTTGCTAACATTCTTTGTTCCAGGCTAAACTCCTCGTAAATCAACTGAATGAAAATGGTCTATCACCGTTATATATGGCCCTAAAGGATGCACATTTCGAGCTTGCTGAGAAACTAATTGGTCTAGGCGCAGATATAAACGCACTTATTGGTCCTACTGACGAAAAGCAACCTGTTACTCAGTTTGCGTTTAGAAAAAACCATTATGAAGCTGTCCAATTTCTCTTGCTTCATGGTTCCAATGTAATTGCTTTGTAAATATTTTAACCTTAATGTCTTGAAAGTTCAGATAAATTACGGTTTATCAGTGTAGGGTCGTGGAGATTGTTGAATTTCAATATAATGAGTTAATTGAAGTTGAACATTAACACCGTTAGATGCCGACACATTGGTCTATAGGTTAAGCGTTCGCGCTCGAGACCGAAGGTTCTAGATTCAATCCCCGCGTGCGGGATCGTGGATGAGCACTGCTGAGTCCCATACTAGGGTGAAACCCCCACCCATTTCTCTCAGGTTTTCAGTGGTAGTCTAACATTTACCGGTCCATGATTTCATTGGAATTACGGTTGTCTTAAATCATACTCCGGTAGTTATTCTGGCCCCTACTTTGAGTTCTCTATTCGTGCTGTAGAAGCAGACAGTTTACGACTATGAACCTCATTACTTCTATCGTTCTGTTCTGATGTTTCCATTTGTTTAAGAAAATGAAATTGATCTGTGGTTTAACACAATTTTTGCATGACCAATCGACAATAGTAGATTATTGTAGTACATGAGATATAAGTACTCCAGGCGTTTAGTTGTAGAATTGTTATTTAGATGAGTACACTATGTTCTTGACTCTTTGTCGAAAAAGTGATTCGCATTTGTTTTAGATATCTAATAGTTCACCGAAGCTATCAACTTTGTTTAGTGAATGTGGTATGTTGAAATGTTTGAACAAGAAATTCAACATCATGACAGCAAGAATGTGAAACCTCTAGACATACGTTAGATATTAACTAGCCCATTTACTTGTTTAGTAATTTGATGGGTAGTTGGAATTTTTACTTCTTTTAGTACTTAGTCTGGGCTAACCATCTAATTACTGTTTATGTGACGAAGTGTGTTATTGCTCAAAGGGCCCAAAAGTTGTGGATTCAGTCAACTGTGTATTTAAATAAACACACTTTTGAAGAGTCATAAGATAAAATGAAATGACTATTTACTTTGAACAACTAAATAGTTCATGGAAATGACACAATAATGAGCTTATTTATTGGGTTAGTAATTTGGTCGCTATAATGATTAAAAGCGGTATATTTTTTCAAGTGTTGGGAATTTTAATCGTTAAAGGATTTAAGAACTAATCTAAGGAATTAACTATTCGGCTACTAATAATAATTAAGGATGAACATTTAGGCTGTTATGTAAAGTAATAAATAGAGAAAAAGACCGAATAGGCGCAAATGATCTTTCTACCCGTTGGCCACACATATACACCCGCTGTCAGGGAAGTTCTATTCACCGCCTTCTCGCGACGGGGGTGTTATTTATGAAATTGAGAGGAAGAAAAGCGAATGTCCGGCACACTAACCGGGTTGGTGGGCACGGAAGTTCCATCGAGAGGAATTGGAAAACCCTGGTTCCAAACCGATGTTGCAAATGGGCTCCAGTATCCTGAAGGAACAAACAGCGTGTGAACCTGTTGTTTGTCACCGGCTACCATCGGACCGCATCTCATTACATTTCTACACTGCCTTGTAGATTTGACCTTTAGGTCCGAGACTCAGGGAGTGGCACCCTAAGAAAACCGCCTGCTTCGGTTTGGGCGTCCGGGTAGTATTCCAGCCCTCGCACAAATCGAATGATGAAGTGTGGCGCATATATATCTGGTGCCTCCTTGTACCATTGTTTATGTGTTTTAATAAATAAACTACTCCGTGGTACCTAAAAAGCGTACAAAAACGTATGTATATATCGGATCATGGAGGAGTAGATCAGCTCAATTCGATTTCCTGTTTTGGAATGATCTTGTGACGTATTTTAATCCCAATTCAACTTAGGTGGACTTGTAGTATCTATATTCTTCATACACTATATGGCTACAAGTCCACTTCATGAATCGTTTGTTGATTACTGTGTTGGACCATCTTTTTATGTTATTAGTATCAGTATGTTGTATACCCAATTCTCTGCTTCTAATTTTGTATTCATTCTTTGTCGCTATTATAAACCTTGGTTACTCAATATCATCTAGTATTCTCCTAGGGATTGTACCAGGTATTTATTCTCCTTAAAGTTCCAATGTTTATGCTAGTTTTTGTACGATTTTCTGAAAAACGTCTTATTCAAAGAGATAAGGAAAGTATATAGTTTTTTTACAATGAAGGTACTATGTGGTCTTACTTGTCTATTTACCCAATACGTACACTTGTAACTCTTCATACTACTAGTAAAAACGCAAGGTAAGAAATTTCTTAGTTATAGTCAGTCTTTCCTAAAGTTAGGAATAGTTTATATACAGCTTCGTTTATCCTATGAAAAATAATCTTTTCACATCAATAAACATATATAACAATTTCGAATCAATATTTCCTTTTAGATTTTGGATAGTAATAAATGAATATTAATGTATTTTGTTTTAAATCAAGTGTGATTTCTGTGATTCAATCTCGTCTCGCACACTACTTCATAACCTTGCAGTAACCGACGCAAAGGAAATGTCAGAAGCTGTGATAAATATAGCAAAAACATTAATCCAACAAAGTGCTAATATTTCTTCCCAAGATATAGACGGAAAGTAAGCTATTTTTTGACAAAATTCTTAAATCATGGAGCTGATTTATAGTAATATTTAATTTTAATGTTTACTTAACAGATCGACTAATCGTATTTCGTTTAATCATAGCATCAAACAAATACTGTGAAATAATATCTCTTGGTTGCTTGTGTTAAAAGTATCTCAACAAATAATAAACGAATATGCGAAGTATCAGAATTTTTAAAAGTACAATGTCTTTACAGTTTTTGTCACTACTTGAACAGGTCAACATACTTCAAATTGTATACAACCATATGAGTAACTCCATTTGCTAGTTTACAAGGTATCTTTCCAAAAAATCTCACCAATGAAGCTATTTTTTTCATCGTTTTAAAGTATTTCCAACTAACGATTAAAGTAATCGTATCTTTCATTGAATACCACTCGTAATTCTCTTCCTAAGCATTCTAATTCTAATGAAAAGTTAACAAAATACTTTTTGCGATTCCAAACATACTTTAAACAAAGGACCAAACAAACAGTAACCGTTTAAAGGTGTTTTTCTGTTTATTCTGGAGGTTTGAATGATTAGCTGTCTATTACGTTTGCATAAAAACTATTCAAAATGGATTTAGTTTCCAAATTTTGTGTAGCGATATAATACGGTATAGTGAAATGTAAATAATATTTTTATTGTTTCAACGAATGAGAGAATTAACATTGTGTTTTAAAAAATCACTTTTCTTTTAGTTCACCGTTGCATTTGTCTATTTTGCACAATAATTCAAGTTTATTTAATTTGCTGATCAATCATTCCAAGAAGCCTAATTTAGATTTACCCAATAATCAAGGATTATGTCCACTGTGGTTAGCGCTTGTCAGAAAGTTCAATTTTCGTGATCCAAGTGTTTACGGATTTAAATGTATGTTATCATTTCAATTATCGTAGTTAAATACTTATAGTAATAAATCGCTTAGCCATTGTAAGGAAATATTTGCAATATATATAATAATTTAGATAGGAGGTTTATGCATTTGTCTTTCAACAACTGGTTAACAAGTCTGAATCTAAGCGGATCTTTGTGTATTTGATTGATTGATTTAATAAACATAAACACTGATACAACTGAGCATCTAAATAAATGCGTGCCATGCAAATAAGGTGTAATTGTGAAGTGATAACGAGAGAGGTGTGAACCCAGGTAAATGAATCAATAAAAGTGAATGAGGCTAGTATACAATAGGAGAAACAATCCAGTAAAAATACGACCAGTTCTTTCAGACGAGTGATTTCCCATTTTTATGTACCTAAAAGAAAACTACAGCGGAATCGGAATTTACTTCTATTGTGAGCCATATCTTATTAGGTATCAAGCCCCTGAGTTATTTCTAGGACTACAGCTATTGAGTCATGATGTGTCAACAAATGCCCATCCTATGTAGCTTCCTTTTATGCTATGAAGCCATTTCATAAACCTACCACCTCTCTTTTATTACCTTATCTTAGCATCGCCAATTATTACAATGTGGATGTCAATGTTTTAATAATCTTAACACATGACCAAGCCATCGAAAACTAGTGTTTTAAGATGATGACTGATTCAGATTTCGTCATTGTGCTCTAACATACATTAGTGAACCTCAATGTTACTAAGATGATGTTGACACTGAATGTTAACAGCCCTTTGGAAACAACAGTAATTGAACACAGAATGAACTAACATCCAACAAATTCTAGACCCGTCAGACTAGCATTACAAAGGTGCCAAAGATACCGCGTATTACCATCGTGCATTCTGGCTTTTAAATGGATCCACCAAACTTTGAACGTCCAAGTTGAACAGCTTTTTTTGACGAATTCAGCCAGTCATATATGAAAAAAGCTAATAGATTATATATTATGTCAGAAAAGTTATTGTATACGTTATTTCATGCATGTGAATTAAGAGCACACTGGATTTCCATAGTTCTGTAAATAATACTTTATTTTTCCAAGAAAGTTGCAAATGGACAAAGATATAAAACTTAAGTCATTGATATTACTTCTCATTAGTTCATCACAAATCCGTAATTGAAACCCTTGACGTATTCAGAAAAGTTGATAATTTTGCTTATTATAATGGAAATCAGGTATATTTTACAGTTATTAACACCAGCTGTGTAATGCTTGGATAGTTGACTTTGCAGCCAACTATTCTTATTGTAATATCCCTATCCTCAGTAGTAGTAAAATATTCGAAATGCTAAAGATGACTAAGCGACAACTAGTAAATGTTTTTATGATGATGAGCTTTAAAAAGTATAAAAAAACAACTCGAAGTTGTGCACTGATAGTGCGTTGAGTAATAATAAATAATAACATTAATTAACTCATCCTACTGGTTAATTAACGAATTCATATAATTAGTAAAGGTTAAAGTTTGTGACTTTTTCTGATAATATTCAACTGCTTTGTAAGTCGTTTATCGATCTGGATAAGTTTTAAGTCTCTTACAATATATCTGTTATCTTGAATTCATATTTTTGCTTTTTTTGGTTTCATCAATTTGTACTATTTCTTACCCATTCATACTCTTTGCATACTTCGCAGCTAACTCGTTGACAAGTAATTCATATGACTTCGCTAGTCAGTTGATTGAAAATGGTGCTAACGTGAATTATAGATTTACTGATGTTCATTATTCTGCATTGAATGGTAAATCTTTGAAGAACCCACTTCCAGGTGACACTTTGCTTTTGGCTGCTTCACGAATCGGATGGGAATCAGCTGCTTTATTTCTTCTTGATCACTCACAATGTGATCCTACTTTAGAGTCATTTACTCAAGGAGAAACAGTTTTTCATGTTGCCGTAGAAGCTGAACTGTCTAATTTATGCAATCGCTTGATTATGCGGAACGATACTGACCCAAATCGTTTACGGTTTTCCAAAGCTAATATAATAACATCAGACAGTGAGGTAGATATATCTTGGACAATTTTTAATTAACACTGCAGTTTTATTACAATTTTTTAATAATGATTGGGCTAAAAAAGCGGGATGTTTTATAGATTACTTTAAGTATCTAATTATTTATTACAATAATTGTTTTTGTGGGTTTTTTAATATAAGTCGAAAAGGAAATTTTCAATTCCCTAATAAACTGTACCAATAACTGTCCAAAAAGTACATTTGTCAGTAGAAATCAATCATTTGGATTTAGTAGGTCCATATCTGTAGTATAATAATATAGTAGTAGTATAATATATACCATTTGAGTGATCCGAATTTCTGAAAAGAGTTTTGCGACAGTCTTAATTTTATGAAGGAAGATATATGTTGTGGTTTAATAAGATACCGATATTACTATTCGTTATAACTGTTGAAAAACTGTTGCCTGCCACAACACAAGACTGATATGATTTAATACACTGGAGAAGGCAAGACTGCAGACGAAGAATTATTCATGCACCTACAAAAAATCCACAAATAATCTAACCGCTAATTCAAAAACTGTATCAAACTACACTAAATTATATATGATTTACTTATCTGGTCGATAGGTAAATTTCAATATATTGAATTAGGCAATAATTGATGTACATTGAGTGACTAATAAATACATGTTTACAATTTATAAGACGAATAGATTTAACCGACGTAACTAGCAATTTAATAAGTTACTGAATTACATATTTACTTCATCTTAACAACAGGTTAGGGTATAAGTCGATTGCTTTTGTGTTTGAGTTTTGGTAAGAGTTTTGTGCACGATTACACTATCACTAGGATTTTTACAACACCTGATCAGTGAAGTAAAGCAACACGCATAGCATCCACACTTAACTAAAAATAAAAACATTTTATGATTTTTGTTTGATAATTTATTCATATTCATGATTTCACAATGATCAACTATCGTGACAACCATCAAATATTTCTACTAACTCATTCATCCAATCAAAATCGATATCAAAAATACTCAAGTTATATACTGTATTTGATAAATCTGTCCTGCATTGTACCCTTAGCTCATAATGTCTAAAGCAGTCAAACAATATTTATGTAGAATTTCACTTTACCAACTTTAATAGTTTCTTAATTTCTTGTAAATCCCGTAGTTACTAAAAATATCTATAGGCAGAATAGTTTAATCTATTGTTAGTATCATATTGAAATTCCATATGTCAAATATGCTTTCGAAAAATCATTTCACACCAACCGACTTCCCGTTAATCTTGGACAATAGTCATTCAAATATGAAAACTCTTGAAAGAGTAGTTTCAGAACCACACTGTAATCAACGGTATTTAATGCTGATCATTCGTAACCAATTTTACACCGGTAACTTACACCTGTTAACCCGTGAAGCATAGGCCGCCCACCAGGATTCCTCATCGAACTCTATCCTCGACAAATCTTCCCAGTTGTTTCCAAGTGCTATTCATTCCTTCGATGTCTGCCTCCAACTCCCAGCACAATGTGTTCTGCGTCTTTCTTTTTCCCTTCAGGATTCCAAGTTATGGCTTGCTTTGTGATGTGTGATAATTTCCTTGATGTATGTCCTATCCACCAACTCCATCGTCTTTTCTTAATCTCCTGAATAGAATGTGAAGCATGTTTGCAGTTACGTCTATATCTGACTTTAGTGCTTCGGCTGGCATATTTTCAGGTCCTACTGCTTTCCCACTCTTGATCTGCTGATGGCCATCCCGATTCCCTCGATCGTTGGTGGAGTGACATTGATAGGAAAGTCTGTAGGGGCTGCTTCGATATCCGGTGGATTCAATGGAGCTGGTTTATTCAAGATTTCCTCAAAGTTTTCCACCCACTCATTCTGTTGTTTTTGAATGTCAGTGATGAGTTTGCCTTCTTTGTCATTAACCGGTCTCTGGTTTTCTATATTCTCCAACCAGTTTCTCCATAATGTCATATAGTTGTTTTTTATTTCTTCCTCTTGCAGCTTTTTGCGCCTTCTCTTCCACGTATTTCTGCTTGTCGGTTCTAATGCTTCTTTTCAATCTCTTGTTTGTTTCTGTGTATCCAGCTTGTACCTTGACTTTGTGTGTTCTTGTTCAGCTGTTGTTAATTGCTGTCTTCTTGTTTTTCCTTTGTTGAATCTCGTCCACTGTTTCGATAGAGATGCCTTCGTTTTGGTGATGATTGTTGCAGCCCAGAACCTACTGACAAGTTGAAGTTAGTGCCTCTTTGATCATTTTCCAATTGCCCACCACAGTAGTTTCCTCTTCTTTGAATGGATCCTGTAAGGCTTGGAATTTGTTATTGAAAGTTATCTTGAATTGGTTGAGTTTTTTCAGTATCTCGAAGGAATGTTAGTTGTTGCTCTGGTTGTTAGAATGGGAATCTACCTTGTGGTTTCTGAAGAATCTCGGCTTTCACAATACGGCGTCATGATTCTTCTTAATGATGATCGTTCAGCTGTCAGGATAGAGTTCAAATGGTTTATATTGTTTTTATTCCGTCTGCTGATATACACACCTTACACAATCTTATTGATGTTCGTATATCTGCTTATTTCACCATGTGAGTTATAACACGATCACTTATTATTAATTTCATTACCTTTACAGCATCTGTCTTACGTATGTCTAGTCATACACTGTGTATCCCCATTCTTTTTATTATTATTGTGATTTTGCTTATCTTTCAAACAGTTATCTAAACTTCACATACTGGAGTGTACAAAACATTTGTTAATATTGATAATAATAATTGTTATTTTAAGTTGTATGCAGTTGGTGAGAACCCGTGAAATAGACTAATGAATTCATTTATTCCTCAAACCTCGTTTTTGCTCTGTCTGCAAGTAGATTCATTTCTGTAATTTTACATATTGGTGTTTAACTGATCCCCTGTCCTTATTAACACTTATCTGGCCATAATAATTTATTTCGTTTAGAGCATGAAATTTCATTTCATTTCTGTACAAGATTCTGATTTTTTTCATATCGTTTTCATATTCAAGAAAATAATACGACATAAAGTGATAATTTCCGTTCTATTTAGGAAATCCTGTCACAAACTTCTTACGAAAGTACTTGTGTGAAAGAGACTAATCAAATGAACTTTACGAAGTCGCTAAATCCTTTCGACGATGACTATGGAAGTAATGATGACTGCAATCTCTTATCTAACCCTATACATAATATATCGTGTCAAGTGAATAGTTCACAATTATCCACTGGCTCAGCAGTTAACGGTACTATTATTTCTACTCCATCGGTATTAGATTCATCATCATTGAGAGAAATTAAAAGTGACCACAAGTCTACCCAACAAATGTACTGCAGTTCTTTACATCTTGCTGTACAACACAAAATGTTTGGTATACTCGAATTTTATCTTGAAAACAACGGTTAGTCAGCATACATTATTCCTTTATAGTCTCTTTTCAGTATATCTGTTTGGATTTGTTAGATTATACGTTGAGTAACTTAAAGTGGGTTGTTGGTCTAGCAACTTTTGCTTTCAGTCATTAGGTCACAAGTTTGAACTCCACGTTACTCTAGTATCAGGTAGCTGGAGTTTATCATAAGTTCTCACACAAAAAATGCGACTGAAAGGTGAGTACTTAAACATGCACTTAGTAAACCAGTTAAACTATTGCATTCAAGATAATCAATAAAGTGTTATATGGTAATGTTTATGGTTAATTAGCTAATGAAATTCAAGACTGACTGAATGGTATATTTGAACTGTTTCAATAACCTCATATAAGCTTCCATACTTAGATTTAATGCATTCATTTTTGTACGATGACTTATGAGAAATATAACAAGTATAGATTCATGTACTCAGCTTTCAACCAGACTTTTTAATGTGAAGTTTAATGATACTGTCTAATTGTTCAAACTTATGCCGATGAAACGGTGTTTGTACTTGGAACCTACTGTTTTAAAGTTACTGCCTCATGGCTAATTATTCTATCCAGTTACCCTAACCCAAATAGGTAGAGTAGAATTCACACTCGTAACCTTGACGTTTAAAGGTCATTTCTCCTTAAACCATTACACCACACACCCCTTTGTTGTACTTTGGAATATCATCGCAAATAGTGACAGCTGGTTGCAAAATAACGAATTTTTAGTAAAGAGATGAATGTTAAAATGTATATGATAATAAAATGCTAAAACTAGACACATCTGTCATTGAAATTGTTTTTGAGTCACTTCTTACTAGGGAATTTCTATAGACCATTTGGGGAACTTTTTCGTATAACCTAAATCAGTAAGTATCAACTTAATAGTTTCATACAATGGTTCGATCAGTTTGATAACGCTTCAAACCTACTCTTACTAAGTCAGTCGTCATATGTTAGTTGGATAAATTGTGGTCGTATATTTGTGCGATTTCCTTATAAAATGTATATTCTCGAAAACTGTGGCAGCTTGTGTTTGATATATTTTTCTTAGTGTTCCGTCCAGGAGGACTGACAAAAATCAAAAGTCATAAATTCATTATTTTCATTCTTCATGCTTAACATAAGTAGCGCGTGCATGGTCTGATGGTTTTGTGTTCCTGATATGCTAGTCGAAATCAAATTCAGCATGACTGTTACGCTATGTAACTGAAAAACCCAATAAATGCAGTGGCTAACAACTCAAATTCACACTATCCTGTGTTATTCTTTGATCCCAAAAACCCAGTCGTTGAGAAATAAGTAGATACGTCGACATCTGTTTGTCATTGCTGGTGATAATAAGGGAAGGGGAATTTTTTTAACTGTTTGTTAGTCCATTAGGTGTCACCCTGAAAATTGGTCGATGTGAATGAGATTTTTTATAAAGCCAAATCTTTATTTTCTCGTGCGACTTTAAACTTCTAAAATGACAATTCACGAAATTCTTTTCGTAGGATTTAAGTTAATTTTTTAAGATACAGAGCGTGTACTTAACTAACTCTAAGATTGTTCACTTATCCACATTCACAAGACAAACGGTAATCACTCTACTAATAAGATGAATATATGTGATTTGTTAATAACGAGTTCTAGTTAACGTGCAGATTTCGTGATAATTGATGCCACAGAAAAGATATATTCCATAAACATAAAATTGAGCTCTGATTTATTTGCTATTTACAGACAATTAATTGGTTTTTAAATCTAGCTCATTCTGCGGAAACTACAACCACTGGTCGTTTTGTTTACCAAAATATCTCTTAAATAATAATTCATGGGCCAAAACTCAATTGTGTGAATTGTCTAGTTTTTTATACTTTCTCGTCATATTTCATTTCCCACCTGTCAATTTCTGCTTACACCTTAGTAATCTATCTAGTTAGATTCCAGGCATATATTCCTTACGTTTTGTTTATCTCTACTTATTATCCACAGCTAATGTTGATTGGTTGCTGTTGAATGAATCTGGTGATTCAGTCCTGAGCTTACTTTTGTGGTCGGAGCAGTTTCAGTTGGTCAAGAGAATATTAGAATCTATGTATAATCAATCAAAGGATACATCAGCTAGTCATGACTCTAAATTCAACGAATCCGATAACGCTATTCAATCATTTCTAAATAAAATACCTACAAAATGTAATAAGCCATCTTTATTGATTCAATCCATTGAACGTGATCAATTCGAAGTTGTGAAATTCTTGGTCGAACATGATGCTGATATTAATGAGAAGTATTATTTCATAGTTTCTAATGATCTTAAAAATATTAGTTATATTTAAATATTTGTCTCTTATGTTTGTTTTCGTGTCTATTTACCAAATTCATCCTAACCGTATATGTTATGGATGTTATTCCAACACATTTTTTATAATTTGACTATTCGTTGATTGATGTATTATTGTATTTATATTACTTAGTTATGTCAGTGAATGTGATATGTATATCCAATTGTTTACATTTGAAGTAGCATATGGTCTTGTGACTGAATTTTTTACTGATCGAGAAGATTTTTGGGCAATTGTAATATGTAAATGATCAAAAACGATATGCGTGTTTTTAAAAATTGGGAACCCTTTATTGCCTTTCAGCTGCTCACAATGACATGATCGGTTTTTTCATTTTACTGCACCGAAAGTTTAACAAACGTATTGGTTTCAGAAAGCCAATGTAGCATTTGTATGCTTATACATAAATCTCTTGATTTATTGTTACTGATTTCATGTATTTGGGTGACAACTGGATGCTAAATACACTTTCTTGAACATGTTCCTCCTCATTTGGTGTCTTACACATTGATGTTAACCCTCTTGGAACCACCAATTCAGGCAGTCATACCTTGGTGATTTCTTTATCGTTTAATAGATACGTAGAATCGATAGCATTTACGGATCATTGTGCATTTTTAGGTTATGTTTTGTAATTATCATCAATGACTTGATAATTATTACTCACTCCTGTTACCCCGTGGAGCATGGGTTGCCCACCAGGATTCCTCATCGAGCTCTATCCTGCATAAATCTTTCCAGTTTTTGCTAAGTGCTGTTGATTACTTTGATGTCTGCCTCCAATGCCCAACACAATGTATTCTGTCTTCTGCCTCCCTTTTTTCCCTTCAGGATTCCAGGTTATGGCTTACTTTGTGATGCAGTTCGGTAATTTCCGTAATGCATGTCCTATCCATCAAGTTCATCGTCTTTTCCTATTATCCTCTTCAACTGGAAACTAGTCAGTGCTCTCCTACAGTAAGCTGTTACTGATGCTATCAGGTCAACGGACATTTGGTATCTTGCGTTGATAATTGTTTATAAATACTTGTACTTTTCTGATGATTGTTGTAGTAGTTCTCCACGTTTCAGCTCCGTACAGTAGAACTGTCTTGACGTTCGTACTGAAGATCCTCACTTTGATGTTGGTTGATAGTTGTTTGAAGTCCCATATATTTTTCAGTTGTATCAATGCTGGCCTTGATCTGCCGATCTATGCGCTTGCATCTGTATTAGATCCTCCTTGTCTATCGATGACGTTCACCAGGTACGTGCAAGTCCCCACCTCTTCCAAAGCTTCTCCATCAAGTGTGATTGTGTTGATGCTCTGTATTGTATTTGAGGATCTTGTTTTTCCCTTGTACATGTTGAAGTATGCTACTACATTAGTTGTCTTCATCTTAATTTGTTGGCTTGTATGGGATAGAAGAGCTAGGTTTTCTGTGAAGTCCAAATCGTCTAGTTGCATTTAACCCGGTCATTCTATTGCGTGTTTCCCGTCAGATATGGAGTATGCAGCCTTGTCTGACTCTGGCCCTCATTCAGGATGCGTCTGTAAGCTTTTCTCCTTACACGACTTTGTAATGTAGTCCGTCGTATGAGTTCCGGATAATGTTGAAAATCTTGTTATGACTTTAAGTTGCGGTCGATTTTTACCCTGTGCTAATTGTTGTGTCCTTGACTGGAAAATTAGAGAGCAGCGTACTTATCGATCGATTACAGTGACACGTAAACACGTGCGGACGGCCTAGAGTCTCGATTGGTCTCGCTTCCCTGTCTAGCTCAGCCAGTTGAGTTCAGAACACAAGTCACAACTTCTGAGATATCGATCATTATATTTCAAACATACTTTGTTTATATACCAATCAAGCATACCACATCGTACCATAAAATAGAAAACAACATTTTGTACAATATTCAACAAGTGAACAGATATCGACCAATAGGAAATGTCCATTTAAAGTCCAAGGACACCATTGGACTTAACATGATAATTATTGGTCTATTCCTCCGCATCCACAACAAATCTCAATAACTGCAAACTTTCCATAAAGTTCTCCTATCCACATAATCAAACGCTTTCTCATAGTAAATCGAGTTGATGTATAATGACGAGTTTCATTCGACCGATTGTTCAACGATGATCCGTTGTGCCACAATTTGGTCTGTGCACGACCGATCCTTACGAAATCCGTCCTGTTGGTCTCGTAGCTGTTTGTCTACTGAATCGTCCATCCGTTTCAGCAACAAGCGTTTCCTGCCACTGATAATAGTGTGACGTCTGTGTAATTCTCACACGTTCCGAGATCTCTTCTTTTGGTACCTTGATGAGATATCCTTCTTTCCAGTCTGTCGGTGGCAATTTTCTTCCCCCCAATTCATAAATAGGAAATGGTGCATATTCGCAGTTATTTCTGCGTGTGACTTCAGTGCATCAGCTGGTATGTTGTGTGGTCCTATTGCTTTTCTTCTGTTGATTTTTTGACGACCATGTTGATTTATCCGATTTTCGGCGTAGTGACGTCTCTTCTATGGCTACTGAAGGTTCCATGTCCGAGTAAAGGTGGATGGTTGGGCATGGAGTCAGCAAATACACCCCGTAGAAATCAACCTTGCCAAAATACGTTAACCAGAATAGACAATTTAAACCGAGTGAGTATAGTGTTGTAGAAATTAGAATTCCAGTAACCAATAGGGCTGGATATAGCAGCCTTTGTGTGATGAATGGTGTTCGGTATGGTTAATGTGCTTGACTGCAGATCGGAATTCTCCTATTTGGTTTGGTGAAGCCTTTGGTCGTATGACTAGCTCCATACGAAAAATCTATCTCAAGGCAGAATACAGAAATATTTACTGAGTTTCATTGCTACTTTATTTATTGTGATCTGTTCGAGCCTGCCAAAAATTAGGTACTATCCTCTGGTTTTTAGTAGACAGAGCTGATATTTTTCTTGCTACTTTTAGTTTACATATTTGGTTTTGGTAATATAAAAGACATGAAATCATTCATTTATTTCTACTTTATCAACTGTCTTCTGTGAATAAATAAGTAATTTGAAATTCTGCATTCACTTTCTTATCTAAATGAAAAGTTTAGTAATTAAACACCACATTTTATTTATTCTTTTGTTGCCTTTTAAAAATTATTCAGCGAAACTGACTGTCAGTCATATATTAACCCTCTATGGACTGCATTGAAATTGAGAAGATGGACAATAGCTGATTATTTGGTAAGTGATATAAACATTCTCTTATTATTAAGTGTTTTCCACTCAATTCTACCAAATTTTCACAGTTTAAACATGAAAAGGTAAGTACTAAGAGTGATTTATTCTTATCGGCATATAGTTCACGGTATTAGATCCTTACGTGAATGTTGTAACAAGAGGCGTCTGAAATATGGTACTGATACCCAGGGTGCTGGGCGTTAACCCACCCCCAACTAACTATACATGAGTGGGCGAGAAAGTGTATTGAGCTACCGAATAATATGCACAATTACTCATTGACGTATATATATATATATATATACCACTGAAATCCTTAGGAAATTAATCCATTTTTTAGCCAATGAGATGCACTTATCCTTTAGGTCATTTCTGATTACCATCGATTGACCTTTCTGATTGACTTACAATATCAGTAAATTCAAGACTTTGATTAGCCTTGTTTGGTATCTCATACCATACAACTTGTTATTTTAATAATTCTGAAACTTCTGCTCCGTGTCAATCAATGTATCTTGTGCTACTATATTATTATTATTATTATTATTATTATTATTATTATTATTATTATTATTATTAAGAATATTGTCATTCATGTGTTTAGTATCGAACTGATCAATATTTGTCAGTTGATGTACATCTGGGGTTAAGCTGATGTAGGAACGCTTCTTTCTAATCTGAATAAATAGCATAAATAAAGTCTATAATTTACAAGTTAACAAAGTTAATGGAGACTTCAGTTGTTGTTTTTTATACTGACCTAGCATTAATTTATTTGAAACAGAAAATAATTTTCATCTCATACTCAAAGCCTGCCTCCTGTGTTTGTATGATACTTGGAACCTGAAGCTAGGTTACATTAGAAAATGAACACTAATCTGTAGGCTATAATAGATCTAAAAAATGCAATTGATTCCCAACAAAATTTTGGTTTGTTACTACCATTCGATTCGATGTATTTATCATTATCATATACTTATTTGTTCGCAATATAAACGCTTTTCAACTAGTTCAGCGATTTCTAGCCAAATATAATAAGTAACAGTTAACAAATGCGAACAGTGGTTTTAATTATTTGTACGAAATAATCTACTTAGATCATGTGTCATTGATCATATATTTTTGAATCAATAGATTTCATAGATAATTTAGCTGTTGATTGATTACGTAATTTTTGATTCTATAAAGGACCATACAACATTAACTAAGTTGTATGACAACCTATGTATTTCTGTTGCCGGTAAGTTACTAACCGATGAACGTACACATATCAGCTTTACAGGACGTTACCCTCAGCTGCGGCATCGAGTGATTAGTTTTAGAACTTCTAGCGAATCACATCAGTTCCCGTGATATAGAAGATACTCTTCTCTGATATGTACCAACCACTATGAAACCTAGGCCAAGAATTTCCTACCAGTTATTTTATATAACCAAACTTACTTGTCCAGTCAATATCGCTTAATGCTTTTCCCTTTATGATGGTTTATTCGAAATCTTTTCCCCTAAAATTTCTTATTTTTTAATTGTGACTATAAATTTCACACTTACCACTTAGTCAGTTTTGGCTAACGATCTTCAACTTATTATTTCTTCCCAGTAGTTTTAAAATCCAGTTTATGGTCAATATTCCGAATTTACAAAACGTTTAGAGTGTGGATTTTTCACGAGAATTTCAATGTGTAGTTATTTTCTAAGCTTCAATTTGGATTTATTCAATTTAAGCAGTATAGTACTGTGCTTCAATTTTTGAATTACACAAAAGTATTATTAACAAAAGCGTTTTTTAGCGAGTTAGTTTTCTACGGGATGGGGACGCTAACCCCATGCCCAACCCTCCTCCTTTACCCGGGCTTGGGACCGGCAGTGACTCTAGAAGAGCTACAGGCGGAGCTTCAGATCACCACCTAGTTGTAGCCAATTTAAGACTGAAGCTAAAAAAGAACTGGACAAACAGCAATACAAAGGTTCAATACGGCCTTCCTTCGAGATACTGACAGACTCAATGAATTCAAGATAGCTCTCAACAACAGGTTCCAAGCCTTACAAGATCTACTGAAGGAAGAAGAAACTACTATGGAGGACAACTGGAAAGGCATCAAAGAAGCATTAACTTCAATGTGTCAAGAGGTTCTGGGCCTAAAGAAACACCATCATAAGGAGTGGATCTCTATGGAAACACTGGACAAGATCAAAGAAAGGAAGAACAAGAAGGCAGCAATAAACAACAGCCGAACACGAGCAGAGAAAGTCCAAGCACAAGCTGAATACACAGAAGCAAACAAGCAAGTGAAGAGGAGCATTATAGCCGACAAGAAGAAATACGTGGAAGAACTAGCAAAGACGGCGGAAAAAGCTGATAGAGAAGGAAATATGAAACAGCTTTACGATACAACGAAGAAACTATCAGGGAAATACAGTAAACCAGAGATCGGTCAAAGACAAAGAAGGCAAGCCAATCACTGAAATTCAAGAACAACGTAACAGATGGGTAGAATACTTCGAGGAACTCCTGAATAGGCCGGCTCCAGTGAATCCACCGGACATCGAAGCAGCACACATAGATCTTCCCATAGACGTCAACTCACCAACGAAGGAAGAAATCAGAATGGCCATCAGACAAATCAAGAACGGGAAAGCAGCAGGGCCCGACAACATACCAGCTGAAGCACTGAAGTCGGACATCGAAGGAACTACGAACATGCTTTACCTTCTATTCAAAAAGATTTGGAAGGAGGAACAAGTGCCGATGGACTGGAAAGAAGGACACCTCGTCAAGATTCCAAAGAAAGGAGATCTGAGCAAATGTGAAAACTACAGAAGCATTAAACTACTGTCAATACCAGGGAAGGTCTTTAACAGAGTGTTGCTGAACCGGATGAAAAATGCAGTAGACGCCCAACTTCGAGATCAACAAGCTGGATTCCGTAAGGATCGGTCGTGCACAGACCGAATTCCAACACTACGGATCATCGTCGAACAATCAATTGAGTGGAACTCGTCAATGTACATCAACTTCATTGATTATGAAAAGGCATTCGACAATGTAGATAGGAGGACATTATGGAAACTTCTTCGACACTACGTAGTTCCTGAGAAGATTTTCAATATTATCCGGAACTCATACGACGGACTACAATGCGAAGTAGTGCATGGAGGACAGCTGACAGATAAATTCCAAGTAAAGACCGGAGTCAGACAAGGCTGTTTACTCTCTCCCTTCCTCTTTCTTCTGGTGGTCGTTTGGATTATGAGGACCTCGACATCTGAAGGAAAACACGGCATACAATGGACAGCTCAGAATCAATTAGACGATTTGGACTTCGCAGATGACCTAGCCCTCCTATCGCATACACACTAACAGATGCAGATAAAGACAGCCAGTGTAGCAACAGTCTCTGCATCAGTAGGCCTCAGTATACACAAAGGGAAAACCAAGGTCCTCAAATTCAAAGCGGAGAACAGCAATCCAATCACTCTTGATGGCGAAACTCTGGAAGATGTAGAATCCTTCACATACCTAGGAAGCATCATCGATGAACAAGGTGGTTCAGATGCAGACGTAAAGGCGAGGATCGGCAAAGCAAGGGTCGCATTCCTACAGTTGAAGAACATATGAAACTCAAAACAACTTTCAACCAATATCAAAGTCAGAATCTTCAATACGAATGTCAAGGCAGTTCTACTGTACGGAGCTGAAACTTGGAGAACTACAACAACCACCATCAAGAAGGTACTGTAGTGAAGAAGAACACGGGTGAGGACAGCCAAATTGTATTTAGGACAAATTACAGAATTACTTGGTAAAATAGAAAAACCATATAGTAAATCGTTAATTTGCAAAATATCATTCTATCATATCAAACCGGGCTGTTGCTGTTGCAAACATCAATCCATTGTCTCGCATTTCATTGCTCATGCAGTTTCTAACAAATTCCATTGTTTTCTCGCTCTTCTTTTCTTGATCTTCTCCGTCTTCTGCTGCCAGACATTATGTTCTTTTGACTCACGTTATATACTACTTATATCAATATAAGTAGCACGCACCACACTCGTCCCCCCTTTTAACAAGTTGCTGTCGTAGTCTTTCTGATCTCCGTACCGCTGTGTTCTTTGGTGCTTTTCGTGATTCACACCCATGATGATCTTGAAACCATCTCTGTAGTTGACTAGCATTTACGCGCTTCTGCTTGTCTTCTCTCCAGATCGTGTAGACCGAGCCGCGTCTCTCCGTGATAACATACGGTCCTTCCCATTTTGGGGCCAGCTTCCCCGACCCTGCTATGTTACTTTTTCGTTCTCTACACTTTACTAGGTCTCCCACTGCAAAGGGTTTCCACGTTCTCCTCTGTTGTTCTGCCTTCTTTGTGTCTGATATTTGTTTCTTTTCCACGTTCCTTATTGCCTCTCTCCTCTCTTTTCTTAACTTTGTTGTCGTCCACTTCTGTTGTTGTGGCCAGGTCTTATTATGCATTGGAAGTCGTGGTTGTCTGCCATACATGAGCAAGAAAGGTGACTTCTTGGTTGTTCCTTGTGTGGAGGAACGATGTGCCAGCAAAATCAATGGTAACTCTTTCTCCCAATTCCCTCCTTTTGATGCTAACCATTGCTTTAACGTCCGATTGTTTCTCTCTGTAAGCCCGTTTGTCTGAGGATGATACGGTGTAGTTCGTATTCTCTTGATGCCAAACTGCTTTAAACGGGCTTTAAACTCGTCACTTTCAAAACAGGGACCCTGGTCAGTTAATATCATCTTCGGTATTCCGTGACACGCTACAATATGCCGGATTACCACCTCGGTCACTGTCCTTGCCCGCTGGTCTGCAATGGGTACGGCATCTACCTAACGTGTAGCATGTTCCGTCATCACTAACAGGTACTGGTTACCGCTCGCCGTCTGTGGAAACGGTCCCATCACATCCACCGACCATAGATCACCGACTGCGGTTACTGGGATTGACTGTAATGGCGGTTGTGTGTATCGATCGCTTTTCATTAGCTGACACTGCTGGCAGGTTAACACGTATTCAGCCACATCTCTCATGCTCGGCCAGTATGCACTTTGTCGTAGTAAGTCCGTCGTTCTTGCGATGCCTGTATGTGCTACCTGGTGACAATCGTGTATCACTTTACGCCGCCAGTCTTTCGGGATCACCGCCACCCAATTCTCATCATCGTCCTGCCAGGTCAGCACTCCATATGAGTTCACTCTCAGTCGGTCCTTTTGCCGAAGCAGCGTTATTACCTCCTTGTCCATTGTTCGTTTATCTACGTCTGCTCCCTCTTTTATCACTCTGATTACCTCTCGAAGGTTAGGGTCAGCTTTCTGCTGCCGGACGAGTTCTAATGGGTCTCCCTCTAAACTATTCACCGCGTATGCTGTTAATGGCAGGTCGGCTTCCATGTCTGGTCTTGACAAGTAATCTGCCATTACGTTTTCTTTTCCTGGAACATGGCCGATACTGAAATCGTATTCTTGCAGGCGTATCATCCATCGCGCCAACTTCCCTCGGGGGTCTCTTGCTGTTTTCAACCACTGCAGGGGTTTATGGTCCGTCTCAATGTGAAATCGTCTACCTAAAAGGTATGGTCTCCATTTTTCCACTGCCCACACGATCGCTAAACACTCCTTTTCGATGGTTGAATACTTCTGTTCAGCAGGTGTGAGGACGCGACTCGCGTATTCCACCACTCTATCAGCCTGACTCAACACAGCACCTATACCATGATCACTCGCGTCTGTGGCCACTGTAAACAGTCTTCCCGGTTCAGGCAGTCTAAGCGTCATCTGGCGATCGTCTAGCATGTTTTTGATTCGGTTGAACGTTTGTTCGGCAGTCTCAGTCCACGTAAACTTGGTGCTGCTCAATAACTTATATAAGGGTGCTGCTATTTCGTTGAAATTCTTGATAAACCGACTGTAGAACGCCGCTCTTCCCAGGAACTGTCTCAACTTCCTTTTCGAATTAGGTACTCCAATATTTTTATGGTAAGAATTTTCTCCGGCAATGACTGTACACAACTACGTCGTTGCCATATACCTCGACATTATCTAGATTATTGAGTAGTAGTGTCATTAATCTTCTGAACGTGAACGGTGCACCCGAAAACCCGAACGGCATTCGTTTAAATTGATACTGTTTATCACGTACGGTAAACGCTGTCTTGCTCCGATCACTCTCTTTTATAGGCAGTTGCCAATAACCTGACCGTAAATCCAGCACTGTAAACACCGTGGCATTCTGTAGCCGATCTAATGTTTCCACCACTGTTTGCATTGCACAAGGCTTCAGGTCTGTTATATTATTCAATTCTCTGAAGTCGACACAAAATCTATACTTTCCATTTGGTTTCTTTACCAAGAGTACCGGCGAGCTATATGGGCTATCCGCTTCCTCAATTATACCTTCTTTTAACATTTCCTGGACCTGACGATTTACCTCGGCCTCTAAATGCACCGGGACACGACGTGTTGCAAATATATTTACTCGACTGTTCTTTATCGGTATTTCGTGCTTTACTCTGTCACAAAATCCATACGGCTCCCCATCTCCAGTGAATAGTTTGGCATACTTTTTGCATAACTCGTGAATGTTTGGTTTCTTTGACGAGACATCCGCTGCAACTCTTATTTCAGCCACTTCACTACTTTCGTGTATTGTCAATGAGCCATATTTCGTGACCACCTTACCGCTTCTTAAGTCGATTATCGCTTTTACTTCTCTTAGGAAATCTGCTCCTAATATCGGTCTCGATAAGCTTGTGGTTACGACGAACGGGAAATTTATCTCCGCATCCCCCACTTTTACGATACTGTTAGATACGCCAAACACCTCTAACATATGGCCCCCTATCGTGTGGACAGCTAATGTACACAGCTTGATTCTCTTACATTGCTCTTTGCCTATTAACGATACTGCTGCACCTGTATCGATCAGACAAACTAAATCTCGCTCATTTATGTTCACTCTCGTATATACTGCCCCTCTGTCTACTAACGCAACAATCCCCAGATTCCTAGGATAGAAAGAACACTCGTTGTAACGTCTAACATATCTGCGTCTTCGTCTTGTTGGACAGTTTATCTTCCAATGTCCTGTCCCTCCACAAGCGTAACATTTATCGTTCCTTTTATTGTTCACTCGTATTGCTGCAATCTCGCGCTCCAGCTCCTCAATCTTCTTCTCGACATTACTCATCTCCTGCTTTCCGCATCCGACCGGAGCTACTGTTCGCGTCATCAGCTGACGAGTCACCTTCGGCAGTTCACTAATATCCATCGGTTGCGCTGCGTTCACCAGTTTCAGCTGTTGGGAGACGGTGGCAGGCACACTCTCGATAAACTGTGACGCCAACGACTGTGCCTCCGACTCCTCATCCAGACTCGGCAGCGCACGGCGTATTAATCTGGTAAGCTCCACAGCCAGCACCAGTGGGTCCCCATCGACCGACAACCTCGCCAACCGGAACTTCTGCAGCGCGTCCTCTCTGTCCACTGGGCTGTCAAACTCCGCCGCCAACCGCTCCGTGACTGCCTCCCATGTGGTCTTCCCGCCAGCACCGTCCAGGCTGTCATACACAGCCTTCGCCCTGCCTCTCAGCAGCGTCCCCAGCACCACCAACTTCGCCTTCGGCTCCTTCACTCCCACCAGCTCCGCCACGGCCTCAAACTCCTTCAGGAAGCTCAGCACATCTCCGTCCTCAAACTCCTTCGGCCATGGAATCTTCATCCTTAGTGAAGGCAGCGACACCAAATGTAGTGAAGAAGAACACGGGTTAGGACAGCCAAATTGTATTTAGGACAAATTACAGAATTACTTGGTAAAATAGAAAAACCATATAGTAAATCGTTAATTTGCAAAATATCATTCTATCATATCAAACCGGGCTGTTGCTGTTGCAAACATCAATCCATTGTCTCGCATTTCATTGCTCATGCAGTTTCTAACAAATTCCATTGTTTTCTCGCTCTTCTTTTCTTGATCTTCTCCGTCTTCTGCTGCCAGACATTATGTTCTTTTGACTCACGTTATATACTACTTATATCAATATAAGTAGCACGCACCACAGTACAAGTATTTATAAATAGCTGTCTTCGCAAGATACTCAACATACACTGGCCGGATACCATCAGCAACAGCGTTTTGTGGGAGAGAACAAACCAGCTTCCAGCCGAAGAAGAAATTAGGAAAAGACGATGGAAATGGATGGACATACATAACGCAAATCATCAAACTGCATCACCAGGCAAGCCCTAAGTTGGAATCCTGAAGGGAAGCAGAAAAGAGAAAGGCCAAAGAACACATTGCGTCGGATAATAGAAGCAGATATGAAAAGGATGAATAACAACTGGAAGGAGCTGGAAAGGATTGCCCAGGACAGGGTTGGGTGGCGAATGCTGGTGAGTGGCTTATGCTTCTTCACGAGGAGTAACAGGCGTAAGTAAGTAGTAAGTAATTATTAACCAAAGGAAGATCGAATTACTTAAAAAAATAATTGAAAGTTAGATTGAGTGAAATTATATATCCATTTACGAAGTCATGCTTAAAGTGATTTAATAAAGTCTGTTGCATAAAATACCCGGATCAAAATTTGTTATACTACATAAAAAACAATATCTATTGTGTTTGACATGTATAACGTCAAAGAAATGTAAAAAGCAGCATGTTCAGTTGATTAGAATACATATTCGAAATGAAAAAATAAACTACGAAATTGCGTTCATTCGAAAATTTCAATAATTCACCACATTTTTAAGTATATCTTCATTTTTGAAAGTAATCAGTAGTTTGGGTAATTTACTCATCTCGTCACTTTCATTAATTTTAAAGTATAAATTTTTGATCACTAGGTGAATCATGGAGCTGATGTTAATTCATGGGCACCGTTTAATGAAACAAATGCAAAAGTCACTCTACTACATCGGGCAATCCATGAGAACAATGAAGAGGCTGGTGTGTTTCTGGTGAAACGGTTAGTGGTGGTATACCTATTTTCGTGTCACTGAATGATTTTCTCTTCTTACCTAATATTTGCTACCATTGTACTTAGGTTTTGATAATACTTCTTCAGTGTATTCACATTTTAGGGTTGCCTAACGTTAGGGTGTAGGGAACTTCATAGTCAGTTGAAACCCTTACTCATAGGTTAGCACCTCTGTGCTTGACAATGATATGCTAAATAGAATGAACTTTCTTTTACTTCAACCACCTTTGCTTAAGTATTTGTTTTCGGCTACTCAAAAGTCGGTTAGATGAATCAGTATGTTAGTGTTTGTTAATTTATCTCACAGTTGGTTTCAGTGGCGCGGATCCATTCACTTTGTGTCTCCTATAGTTTAAATATTATTTCATTTTGCTTGACTGTATCCGCTGTTTTTAATACAGTTCTATCTAATATTTCCTCTTTCTCATCCCAATCGATTTCTGCAATGCTTTTCGTACACATCTTTTCGATTTCGTTTTCCCCTTGGCGATGTTCTATAACATCATGTGCTGGCATACATTTGTACCAGGCCCTATGTCGATTATTACTAACTAACATAGTTTCTGAAACCACAAAACACTGTGTTATAAAGACCTATTTTCCTTCTTATACTAAATGTCTTATTGATTATCACTGAAGTATCTTATTTCTAAACAAATTCGATATATCATGTATAGTACAAATAAAAGTATAAATATTTGTAAGGATATGTGTATACCACACTAAATTAAATAGTGTTCATTAATTCATGAATGGACCACCAATCATGTCATTAAACATTAATACCATAGTGGTTTTACCTTACTATTCATCTCGACCCAGCCATCAATTAAATATTTGTCTTCCTTCCCATTATGGATCACTGTCACCTCCCGTCTAATAAGATTACTAGCTTTAAAAATAGCGTCAATTATCATTTTTAAATGTAAAAAGTCAGTAATTTGTGGGTTAACTATCTCTTTTCCTAATCGTGAGCCCAAAATAATAAAGCAAGTGCAAATAGTGAATTAGTTTCGAACGTGATTATGGTCACAGAAAATGCGTTTCTGACTACTTTTTCCTATAGTGCTAAAGAACACTGTCAATGAAAGAATCCGAATGGGAAACTAATCGCTATTTTGTTGCTCATGTGTGTTTGCCGTATAATGTTGGATTATTATTTGTGGGATTGTGAATACTATTCTCTAGCAGATGAAAACTGCGTGGATCTGAAAGTTCGGTCAATCGGAGTCTAGAATTTTTAAACCGTTGTATAAAATATTTTTGTACATACACACACTTTGTTAGGATCTATTTTCATTAGTTTTTCTTTCTCAACTGTTATTGTCAAACAATTATTCAATTAGAAACTGTGATGTCAATGCGTTCGCACAGTTTGATTATTCAATAGATAAGAAAAAATCAGATCATATTATACCAGAATTAGCTCGATCACCACTGCATATGGCCACTTTAATTGGAATGTATGAACTCGTTCAAGTACTTATCTCCAGTAATCGTGTATATATTAACCAACAGGTAAATGTCTTTATTGCATCAATAAAAAATTGTATGAATATTTTGTGAAAAGTGAATTAAATGTTTATAGATAGAGATACCCAATGAAGTTGTGAATGGTATGTACAACTTCACATGAAATGTTAATTTTGAAAGTAACAGTAACTAATCAACTGGAATACTTTCAAAAGTTATCAACAAAGAGTAAGCTTTACAGACTTTTTGAATGTCACATTGTAGTTTTAATTAGATGTGATACCTTAATACTGATAAAAAATTGATTCTTGGAGTGGGATGTCATGGCCTTTGAACTACTCACTAATCAAAAGGTTAAAGCTCAGATTCAGCATTTCTTCTTGATTACTCAATCATTCATTATCTACACAATCTCTTGTATATGTGATAAATGATTTAGATTTTTCACATTTTTCTCATTGTATTTTGTAGCGCAGTAAATTTTTGTTTGGTATTTTGCCAGCTAAACGTTTTGATCTATGGTACTGGGATCATCTATACATACTTTTAAATTAGCGACTAGGCGCGATCTATAAAATGTATTTCAGAATTTTCACACGCTGCTGGAAAGTTGTATTTTGTTTTAATACTTACTTACTTACGCCTGTTACTCCCAATGGATCATAGGCCGCTGACCAGCATTCTCCAACCCACTCTGTCCTGGGCCTTCTTTTCTAGTTCCATCCACTTCTTGTTCATTTTTCTCATGTCTATCTCCAATTCTCGGCGTAATGTGTTCTTTGGTCTTCCTCTTTTCCTTTGACCTTCAGGATTCCATGTGAGGGCTCGTCTTGTGACGCAGTTCGGTGCTTTCCTCAATGTGTGTCCTATCCACTTCCAGCGCTTCTTCCTGATTTCTTCCTCCACTGGGATCTGGTTTGTTCTTTCCCACAGTACGTTGTTGCTAATTGTGTCCGGCCAACGGATCTGAACTATTTTGCGTAGACAACTGTTAATAAACACCTGTATTTTCTGGATGATGGCTTTTGTAGTTCTCCAGGTTTCTGCCCCATACAGTAGAACTGTCTTGACATTTGTATTGAACATCCTGACCTTGTTGTTGGTTGACAGTTGCTTTGAGCTCCATTCCTTGTGGTGGTGCTTCTTGTGACCCAGGACCTCATGACATGTTGAAGTGATTGCCTCTTTGATCCCCTTCCAGTTGCTTTCCACAGTAGTTCCTTCTCCATTGAGTAGATCATGAAAGGCCTGGAACTTGTTGCTGAGGACTATCTTGAATTTGTTGAGTTTGTTAGTATCCTGGAGAAAGGCCGTATTGAACTTTTGTGATACTGTCTGCCCCGTTGTCCAGTGCTTCTTGAGTTTCAATTTCATCTTGGCGACCAGTAAGTGATGATCTGATGCTATATCAGCTCCTCTCTTGGTTCTCACGTCCTCTATAGTATCTATAGTATCTCATAAATTCGTAGAGAATTGGTTAGGCTCATCATTTGGCTTACATCTGATTGACCAAAGGTATCATGGTCCACAACAAACCATAATTAACAGATCCGATAAAAATCGAAAAATGTCATTTTAGGTACAAAATCTTCATACTAAACTTATATGACGAATTTCATGTATAAGTTTTAAGCATCGTAGAATATACCAACAGTTTATGAGTCAAATGAAATCCTATAATTTGTGGAATATGAAAATTTTATTCATTGTCTTTTACTACATACACATTAAAAATTAGGCGTACTAAAATCCCAAGAATTGACTTTCGAAGTTTGTCACCCTATTTTATTCATTTCAACATAACATAATTATTAGAAAATAACTAAAAGACTAATATTTGAACGAAGAATATTCTTTTCGATAAATTCTCTTCAGGTTCTACAGTTATATATCCAAATTATTAATCCGAAAAATGGCCAAGTTAAGGGTAAAGTACATCGTTTAGAGCATGTGAATTTAGGATTGTGATAAACAAAATACAATAAAATTGTTAATGTTAATATGACTCATATAGAATGTTAACTTGAATCTGCGTATATGTTAAATGAAATTTTAAGATCCATGATCAGAATAAATATGGGTCAAATAGGGTGAGAGAGAAATAATAGTGCAATTACAATTCGATCAAATAAGTAAGACGTAATACGGAGGAATGAATGCGAAGTGAATGAATCATGTAAAGGGGAGATTAACGATATTTAACCAATAGTACGAATAATAATAATAATAATAATACAAAGATTTATGAATAAAGATAACAGGGACAATTACAATTGACTAAGAAAGGTCATAGTCAAATTGGGTCATTCAATAGTTAAGATTACGATTGATTAATTGGCCTTGATGTTGGCCAGGGGAGGAGGAGTGGCTGAATATATTTCTTCTGTACGCATAGCTCCGGTTTCTTCATTCGGATGGCTACTGCTTCAGCCGTTTGAAGGACTTTCAGTCTGACCAGTTTTGGCAAAAAATTACCGACCTTATAAATAATAGAAAAAGATTGGTTTATACTGGCACTATGACCGGTTTGTACTAAATGGGCCAATATTGAGCTGTTCACCTTCTTCATCAAACCTTTGTTTAACCACGCCGGGAGGTGTTCACGAGCACGAAAATGTAAATTCCTAGAACTTCGACCAATATAACTCGCTCCACAGGAGCAGTTGAACTGATAAATACAAAATGAGGTGGTCATTCTAGGTAATTCATCTTTTAGCTTCGGTGTAACCATTGGGCGCGTAGAAAATACTAATCGCAGTTCTCCGGCGTTAAAAGACTTTTGTATTGTCCTACGTAGTCTCTGAGTTAGTATTTCGCTAGCCGCATCCCCTCTGAATTGTAGACGCATGAACAAGGATTTCTTCTTCACTGTTTGTATTTCGCCTTCGTGACCATATATTTAATTATAAACTTTCTAGGGTAGCCGTTCTCCCTGAGAGTATTATGCAAGGTGGTAAGCTCTTGTTCGACTATATCAGCAGAACATATAGTGCGAATACGGTAGCTAAGGTTTTTGATCAAATTTCGTTTGTACTGTAGAGGTACAAAGCTCAGGAAATTCGTATACTGCCCAGTCCAAGTACTCTTTCTGTTTATATTCCTTTTTAACGATCCATCCGCTCTCTTAGTCAACAGAACGTCCAAAAAGGCTATTCGGCCATCACTCTCTTCTTCAGATGTAAACTGAATGGCTGGATGCACTTCATTAAATCGTCTAAGAACCTCTTGGGGCGATGTATTATCTTTACAGAGGATGAACGTGTCATCCACGTATCTACAGTAAAATGTGAAGTTGTCAATAATCTTTTTTAGTGGACCATTTTCTAGTTTGGCTAGAAAAATATCAGCTAGTATAGGGCCCAGTGGTGAACCCATTGCAACACCATCAGTTTGTCTATATATTTCCCCGTTGAACTTGAAATTTACATTCATGGTGCATTTGAGTAATAACTCTTTCACGACGCTAATAGGGACAGTAGTTTCAATTTCATTTTCTATCAGCTGTTCACCTATATATTCTACAGTCTCTATGAGTGGGACGTTTGTGAATAACGATGTTACATCCAATGACATCATCTTCAGTCCCAACGTATTTGCGTTTTTGATTTTATCAACAAATTGGAAAACATCCTTAACACTATATTTTACAAGCTTTTCATGTAGAGGTTTCAATACAGTTACCAGCCATTTAGCTATAGTATGGTAAGGAGAGTTATACATATCTAAAATAGGTCTTAATGGGACCCCCGTTTTGTGCACCTTTGGCAATCCATACAATCTCGGGAGATGGGTTCCCACTGGTTTAATCACTTCATATAAACCCGATGGGATAGCCTGTTGGTCCCTGAGCTTCTTCAAAGATCTGGTAAGCTCATTCTCTATCTTATTATTCAAATCTTTCTGGTCAGTTGTTTTTTGAAACTTTGATTTGTCATTTAAGATTGTACTCATTTTTTCAATATAATCACTTTTATTAAGAAGAACGACACCTGAACCTTTGTCAGGTTTTGTAATCAGTAACGTCTCATTCTTAAGAAGTAGGTTAATAGCTTCCTTGTGCTTCTTTGTGAGAATGCTTTTGTAACTAAATTTATTGTTCTTATATTGGTAACAGCAGTCTACAAGAGTTGATTTAAAATGTTCTAATTGCAGATCAGAATTCACAACTAAATCACGTGTCTGACTATAAAGATTCTCGAACTGTATATCTGTATCGATGTGGTTACAGTTATTACGAGTATCACAAAATTTTAGACCTAAGGATAATACCTCTAGTTTTTCTTTATCTAGTTCGACACTTGATAAATTATGTACATACCTTTTACAGTCTGTTGGAAAATTACTTTCCGCCGTTTGATTTTCCAGACCTTTCAGTAGCTGGATGAGTTTCTTCCCTGATCTCTGATCCATAAGGTTTTTAACATAGTCCATAAAAGGTATTTTCAAATCATCAGTTAGGTCATCTACTGCATACTTTCTGCGAGAAACGTTCATCTGCATATCATTTATGTCTGAATGCAGGGCGTCAATCTGGTTTAAGGCGTGGCGTTTCAGTGTTTTTCTATTGGGATAAACCCCGTTTCGTCGAAGTGACGTGTAGTACAATTTAGGATAATGACCTGATTCGATGCATCTATTGATAAATTCAATAGAAGTTCTCGTTTCAGTGAACTTTACGTTATACTCCAGGAACTCATTGAGCACCTTCAACGCAATGGGTTGTTCACAACATTTTAATCGTTTAAAGATCCCCGTCATATTAAAAGACTAATATTTGAACGAAGAATATTTTCGATAAATTCTCTTCACGTTCTACAGTTATATATCCAAATTATTAATCCGAAAAATGGCCAAGTTAAGGGTAAAGTACATCGTTTAGAGCATGTGAATTTAGGATTGTGATAAACAAAATACAATTCAGCCACTCCTCCTCCCCTGGCCAACATCAAGGCCAATTAATCAATCGTAATCTTAACTATTGAATGACCCAATTTGACTATGACCTTTCTTAGTCAATTGTAATTACTAGTATAGGGGTTGTGGAG